AGGTATAAATTTGATTTTTCATTAGACATTAGATTATCCAATCTAATGGCTACGATTTATTCTCATTTCTTTCACTAAGCACCATTCTCATGTGAACCTAACACTATATATATATAGGGTTCGGTTCAAATGAGAAAGGTTTTTAGCGAAAGAAATAAGAATAAATCTTATTCGTTGGATCGAATGATCCAACGGCCAAAAAAAAAGTTAAAATCTTAAACTCATTAAGGGTAATATTGACATTACCATTATCTACAACCAATCCAAACACTGTGGCACCCATGCCAAATTATCACGCACGTCACCATCTCCTTATCACATACACACACAACACGAACACACACAACTTCTCGCCGGCGACCCACCTTGTCGGCTAACACACACACACACACAGACGACCAAAATAGCAGCAACCCTTCCAGTCGGCGGCCCGCCTAGCGCTACCACGACCACCACTCCGCCGCCGATGCTGGAGACGCCAGTTGTACCTTCTACGCGTCTTCCCCGAGGCCTTCCATTGCCGACCCCGTCGTCCTCATCGCTTCTTATACTCTGAAACTCCTACCACTTCACCTCCGGCCGCCCCCCATCTCCACTCAGCAAGACAATTCCACCCGAGACGCCGCCGCCATTGTGGAGGCGGACGGTGAACGTCACCGGAGCGCGGGTGGTGAAGGTGCAGCGAGAAATGGCGGTCGCAGCTCCTGTGTGTGTACTGTGTAGAATGTATGGACTACACTTTGAGAATTTAATAATTATGAGAGATTTGAGCGATTTTTTAAATTTTAATATACAATTTCCAAAACATATTGTATAAATGACATGTAATAAGTTTTGTTTCCAGGTTTTTGGGCTGGGCACCCAAAAGACACGCAGCTATTGTGTCAGCAATTTCTTTTTATTTAAAATTAATGAACTTAGCAATTTTGTTATTTTTAGGGGAAAAGTGAGTACCGAAATTAGAGTAGTATTGTTTTTTACAAGAGAATCAACATATTTATTTGTTTGGAAGCAATGGAGAAGAAGAAAATGCATGTTATAATATAATGTTAGTATTATTGTTGTTAGATTGGCCAATAGTTACACAAACATAATTTTTTCAACAAGTATGGAATAACTTAATACAAAAATGATATACTTTAAAATAATATACCAAAAGTACGATATTTTACAAATAAGTATATATTTTTTTTAAATGTATAACTGAGTAATGGTTATAATTCATTCTAGTAACACACAAATGTCAGTGAAGCGTGAAAATTTAATTAAGTGGGCTCAACTGAAAATTTAAAGAAAAAAATACAAGTCATACCAAAAATAAAAAAAAAAAATTATAATTATATAAATAATTTGATAAATGAAAAATAATTTCGATTGATATACACATTATTGAAGTCTTCTAAAAAATTGATACGCACGTAAAAAATACCCCACTCAATATACTGCACATTAGTGATTGTCGGAATGCACATTATTGTTTTTTTGTATTTTATATATTATGTCTCTTTAACAATAAATAATACATAATAGTAAATACAAATATTATAACACAAAAAATATTAAATAAATAATAAATTATTACAATTATTCCAGTTTACTGAAATAATCGGTGAACCGATTCAATAAAAATTATTTTGGTTCAGATTTAGTTTGGATTATGACAAATCAATAAAAATCCTTGCATTGTGAGTGTACAATAGTTTTAGACAAATTGCACATTAATGACTAACAGATTGCACAATATCGAAATTTAAAAATTTTGATTCGATTTTCTTTTGTTACTTTAAAAAACTCAATTATTTTAGTTCGATGTCAAACGTTTTTTAAACGAAATAATCAAACGACCGAATTATATAATATTATTATTATTATTATTATTATTATTATTATTATTATTATTATTATTATTATTATTATTATATTTTTATGCATTGCGATTGCACAATAACATTAGACGAATTGCACCTTAATGACTATATGGTTGCACAATATCGACCAAAACTCAATCACACTAAAAAACTTTGCACTAAATTTTTTTGTTCTAAATTTTACATTGGGGTTCAATTACATAATTTTTATTCTTAAAATCTCGGTTAGAATTCTTATTTGTTATACAATATTTTTCACTTTTTTATCATCATTGTGCATTTAACACACTTTTATAAATTATACATTTGACCCCAAGTGTTAAATTAAAATTTATTAAAATTCCTAAAAGTATATTTAAGCCCCTTGGATCTATCAAATTCTCAAATGGAGACCCAACTCACACACAACCCATCAGTCACCTTCACCATGACCGCCGGCCGCCTACCCTGCCCGACGATCGGTTATACGCCGCCGGAGAACAACCTCGAGACATGGCCCCGACGACCGGTTATACACCATCTCATTTCCAGTGCCGCCGCCCATGCTCCGCCTTTGCTGCCGCCGTCATTGCTTCAGCTATCCGAACATTCCACAGCAACAGCCGGAACTGGATGGCGGGGGAAACGGGTAAACGTCGTCCGAAGATGAATCTCAAATTCCGGCGAGGTCTCATGAGGTCTTAAAGCTACTACTCGAATGTGCAGGGCTTGTAGGATAGTGTGTACGCCGACGGTAACGACGGCGGAGAGTCGGATGTGTTCAGGAGGGGCTGTAGTCGCCGGAGATGATTTGTAACACCCCGCCTTAACATGAAAATCACAGTACGCGTTTTCGCAAAATCCTTGAATAAAAATATTTAATTTGCGAAATACTGATTCGGAGTGTTACCGTAAAACATGACTTTACTTGAAAACCGTTATATTAAGAAAACAAAACGGTTTAGCATAATATAATCACCGATTATAAATAGGGTCTGAGTTTTGCAAAAACAGTAATAGTAGCGGAAAGCATAGTGTAGCCAAAACATGATTATACGTATTTACAGAACTTCTGAACCGAACATCCGCTCACTCCTCGGCTCCGACCCTGTGACCTGAAAACATGAAATAAGTGGGGCGTGAGCACTAAGCCACTGTGCTCCGCAGAAACTCATACTGAAGTAAACAGTAAAAATAATTACAATATCATGATCCTGGCATATACATAACCTGAACTGAAACCGGTAATAAACATGAACCTGATAATCATCACATGAACCATGACCGTTACCTCATCTGCCAGCATAAAAATGTCGGACACCATGTGCACACTCTAGTGGGCAGACTAGGGCCACTAGAACCCAGAATGGACCGGCGACCATTCCGAGCGGATACATGACATGAAATACGTACCTCAAACATGGCAGAGTAATTATAATCAATGTAATACCCAGTCTGAGTCCCCACCTGATCCGTGAAAATGAAAAGGCAGTGCTGATACTCGTGTCCTGATCATACTGAAATATAATATAAACAATTACTAAATAATATGCTCAGACTGATAAAATTAATTGATTAATTCATTAAGATGCTCTACTGGACTTGACATGACATTTTGGATTTTAGTCGGTATAACCAGAACTGATCTGTCATGAATTGATCGGACGTGATTTTACTGAACTGACCTGAACCCGGAATTTTAATTGAAAATAGGACTTGAACATGAACCGAGACTTAAAACATCATAATATAAGGTGAACCGGTCTGAGCCGGTCTGAACCGGTCTGGTTGGACCGTCGGCCTCGTGGCCGGGCGGTCGGCCACTGACTTGGCTCATGGGCCTGCCGAGGCTGCGTGCATGGGCGCTGCCTGGACTGGCCGTGGGCGCTGGCTATTAGACATGGCATGACTGCTGCTGGCTTGTTGGGCAACAATGAGTACGGACACGCGCGCTAGCGTGCGCTGGCGTGCTCCTGGCATGGCGTGACTCTGACTGGTGTGACTGGCGTGCAACTGGGCATAACTGCGCACTACCTGGGACGCGTGCGTGCGCCTGGCGCATCGCAGGTATCGGACTGGGCGCTGCCTTGCGCTATGTGCGCTGGCCTTGCGCGTCTGACGCTGCTGGGTGACTAGTGGAAAAAATACTTTTTACATCGGTTAAAAATCATATTAACATCGGTTAAAACCCATTTTTACAACCGATGTTGAAACAGCCGATGTTAAAAGACTGTCTTTTTCACATCGGTTATAAACCGATGTGAAAAAGAACTTGTTTACATCGGTTTTGCCTAACAACCGATGTTATAAGGGAAAAAAATAGGGCTTGAAAAACGAAAAAATCGAACCCTTTTACATCGGTCTGTTTAACAACCGATGTAAAGTAAAACATTTAACATCGGTTTCGTAATAACCGATGCAAACAAGTTGTATATACATCAGTTATAGATAAAAATCGATGTAATAAAGGCATGTAACATCGGTTATCAGAATAACCGATGTCATATTACTTAGATTCACATCGGTTTCAAAATAACCCATGTGAATAATGATTACAATGACATCAGTTATTATGAAAACCGACATGAAATCTTTATGTCAAAATAGTCTGTTTACATCGGCTTTGTAAAAACCGATGTCAAATGTTAGGATTATTACATCGGTTCCTTACATCAGCTTTAAAAACCGATGTAAAATCAAGCATTTATAATAATTTTATTTAAAAATATATTTTTTTACCTGTAAATCTAAAAATCTATTACTACAAAATAATAACATTCATACATTCAAAATATTCCCACAATTCAACAAAACCCACATCACAAATACTAACAACCAAAATATTTCAACAACTCCAAGTTATAAAAAATAGTTTTCATATGCACTACACCAACAATAGTCAGCAACCAAAGTTATAAAAGTTCAAAATCCATAAAATGCAAGTAAACTGATAAGTCTATTTTCCTAATGAAGTAACCTCAAGAAAGTACTTCGTCCACCGCATTTTTATATTTTCAATGTCCTCGTCCGAATATGGCTCATCAATGTTGAAAGCCTACATGATACAATAACAAATATTATCACTATAATTAACCTGTATTGAATTGTGCAATTTCAAATACATCAAAAAGTTGATTTTAATAAAAAACTTGCCTCTTCAAACGAGTCGGTAATGTCAAGTGATATAATCTCGAGCATATACCGCATAACAAAATATCCACATGCTTCTTCTCCCAATTGTTTTCGACACTTGTATGAAAAACATAAAAACATCATTTATACTACACAAATTAAATCGGTGCATACAACTAAGAAGGAAATAATATAACTCTCCAAAATAAAAACACCTAACATCATTCAATAAATTTACCTTAAGTGGAACCCATTTAGGCTTCTCTCTTATAAGGTTACGTTTTCCCTTAACCATGAAGTATGCACGAAATGCACTGCAACATAATAAATATTCATATTACTTAAAAGACAAAATAAGCTAAAATGTAAAAGATAATATATTTGAAATTAGCAAAGAAAAGTTAACTACAAAATCAATCTAATTTATCAATTTAAAAAGATACCTGTTAATCTTGTTTATCAACTCTGTGTTGGGATTTCTTCTCAACGAGCACAACCAAACCACTTTATTTTGTTTGGGACAAAGTATCATCAACTGCCAGTGTTCTCTGTCAATCCAAAAGATAAATGTATTTAATTGGTACAATTTTTAATTTGTATGTCTATATAATGTAAATAAAAATAAAATAATGCACAGATAAAGTGAATTTTATATGTTTTTATATTCTTACTCGCTAATGTACGGTGCAAAGATACACTCGTAATTTTCTTCTCCCATTCTTCTCGCAATATACCCTTCTATCTCTTCCTTATTGTTGCCCCTTGTTTGAATTTTGAGCGGGCACAAAAATCCAAATTTTTTTTCTTTCTCGGATTTTTTCAGCACATTATAGAGATACCTGTGGTAACTCAAAAAATAAATAACTTTTAGAAACAAATATAGTGAATAATGTATATACAATACTAAACTATTAAAGATTATTGAATTAAGCATTTAAAATATAAAATTATTACCTCAAATTGCAGATAAAAAAAAGACATAAATGATGATAAATACTTACATGTTGAAGAATTCAATGATAGAAATGCAAAGTTTTTGACTTTGCAACAACTCCATTATGTCCTTCTGAAATATGTACAAATCTCTTTTCTCGCCAAAAATCTCAGTCGGCATATTTATGCAAATTGGATGTTTTATATAACGTGCCTTCATCCACAAAGTTGTCACGGCATCTGTCTCAGGTTCGATAATCGGTACTGGTGTCACTGGCTTCGACTGAAATTTATCCTACAAATGAGAAATATATTCATATAAAATTTTCAAGAGAATGTAAATTCATGAGTTACTCATAAAATGATTCATTTTATTCTAGATAACTCGTATGAAACAAAAAACCATTCAAGACTATAGAGTCAGAAAGATACTATTGTAAGTATTTTTAATTACCTTAGCATTTGCACCTTTAACCAACCTACGAGGCCAAGTAATGAAATTATTTGGCGCTTCTTCTACGGTTGTGACCTCCTCTGTCGGGCATGGCACGGGCGCATCTCCAACGACTACACGTGACACGACAACCCTCACTTCATCCTCATTCATCTTCTTGTGGTGAATGGTTGGCCCAAGGTTATGGATACGTCCGTATGCAACCAAAATTTTTTTTGGGTTCTCCACATACAACTCGCATTCTTTATCCTCGTTAAGTTCATCCAATGATAACACATTTGGAGCACAACTCTCTGTAGTGCTTTGGATCCTCGGAGAATTAGGACTGTGGGCAATCGAAGAGCTTTTGCCGATCATCATCATTATTTCATTTTTCCATTCGTCTTTCACTTCGTCAATCCTACGACTGATGATAGTTTTCATCTCATCTCGCGAGACCATATCTTTCCCTACACTTGAACAGTTCAACGGCCCAAAGAAGTTCTTGATCCCAACACCCTTCCCCACTCCCCTCACACGCCCGGGATGCTCCGGCTTTCCTAACGCTGTTGCGAGTATATCGTTTCTCCCAACAGGTTTGAAACTGCCCTGAGTGCATTGTTCCTCTAAAGAATCCTGCATGAAAGGTTTGAAGAATTTATAAAGAGTAATATCCATTCATGAATGTACGAGGAACTTAAAATATAAAAACACATCACTTACAATTTTGTCAGCAACAATTTTGGCTTCCTTTGAGACATAATCTCCTTTCTTTGTTATACGAGCTCTTTTCCATAATTCATGACGAGAAGGAGGAGATGGGGGTGGAATAATTTCGGATGGATCACTGGAGGCCTCTTTTCTTGCCCTATATTTCTCGTCCATAATCTTCTGCATCAAAAGGCAGTAGCCTCCACGAGATAATATGTGCGGATTTAGATTATACGATTGTGACTCCTGAGCCTTTTTTCTGATTTCCTACATACATATAGATTAAAAACACAATCAAGAAAAACAACTCAACATCCCAAATATCCACTTATCATTTATTTTCTCTCAAAAAATCCTTACATAAAGATCAAACAAGTTTACAGAAACAATAGTTTCGTGCACTTTTGAATATAAATGTCCCCAAACAATTTAACTTTAATTGTATGGCCAAATGTACGAGAGACTCGAAATTATTTATGTTCATGATAATATTAACTTACCAAGAATTCAGGAGTTTGACGGGATGCAACAAAAGCCTTCCAAGTGTCTGCATCCAGAAAAGGGTAACCATCGTCATACGGGAGCAAACCAATCTTTTCTCCAAATATGTATTCTCTACTGAGCTTAGTTTTGAAAGCCCTCCAACCATCCCCAGCACGTGAAAACACTCTCTTTCTCAATTTCTCTTTATCTGACAATTCATAGTGCTCCTAAAAATATAAAGATTCATAAAAAAAATAATTAATATTTAATCATTAAATTTTTAATCACATAACTGGTACAACTCAATAAATCATTAAAGCATTCAATTAAAAACTATTGTGTTTTCATAAAATAGATAAATTATACCGATAAAGCTTGCCAAATTTGCTCTTTATTCCTATCAGTCACTTTTCTCCAGTCCGGTATCAAGATGCTGACTTTGCTACGTCCTAGAAGGGCGATGTAGCTATTAAACTTGCTCTTAGTTTTTGGATCTGGCCCGGTTGCCTCAAAATAACGATTGAATGTAACAGGTTTCTTTTCTCCGTCTGATGTTTGTATGTCTTTCATCCGTGTCGCTTTGCGACCTTTTTTGACGTGAGTTTCCTTGTCTGAGCCATCTTGACTACTATTTTCAGAAAGATCATCCATTCCTGCATACACGTTTCATAACTAGTAATCGATCTTTTTATAAGTTATGAGTGTGCATATATTATTTAATATCATAAGTTAGATAAAAACCATATTATTGACTCTGATTTATTTATTTATTTATTATTATTTTTAGTTTTTGAACTTATGAAATTGCATCTAATAGCAATGAGTAAAAAGAGATTAAATTACCTTGATGTTTCCGGTGTCTTATTTAAGATGGCAAAAGGAGTTCCCACTTGTATGATTAAGAGCTTCTTTACCTAATAAGTCTGCACAGAAAATCACCAAGCCATAACTTATTGTCACAAGAATAAAACATGAGACCAAACACAAAAACAAGAAAAAAGAACAACAATTATGTCCTTCCACAATTAAATCATGTAAAGAAATCATATATATGGAGGGATAACTAATCAAAAGTTTAGATTTTCCATACAACCATATTGAGGTGCATTCCCATTACAACATTTATTGCAGCCTATCACTCTGAATTCATCATGATATAAACAAACAAAAGGGATAAATTTAATAAACAAATGACCTAATTTTTTACATAAGAAATATATTATTCAGTTGACAAAAATAAGCATCAACAATCCCAGTTAGAACCAGAAAACTTCGTGTGCAAGAATCATTACTACCAGTCAGAACCAGAAAAACATCGTGAAAGTATCCTTATGAGACATTAAACAATATTCATTCAGTTACAAGCTTTTGCATTTCTTACAAAATAGGAACTGCATAATATAAGCAAAATCGACCAAAAGAACAACTGATAGGAAAAAAAATGGCAGGTATTCTTGTGTTCTTCCTATAGTTCAGTAGAAGATGTTATCTCCCCTAACTAACCCAACATTGGGTTCATTTACATTATCAGCTATCAAATCATGGCTTACTGCCTCTGTATAACGAGCAGCATTGTTCCTCATTTTACTAATAGAAGTGGGCACATATCCAAGAACCTTTATATCATTCCAAACAAAAAATATAGTGCTTCTGATATGAAAAATGACCATTTTTGATCCCTGACAATCAATACCAAATTTGAGCACATGAACTGTAAATTTCCAATTTACCTACAGTTTAGACTGTTTAAAACCATTTTATCAGATAACATCACAGGCAAGAGTGAAGGAGAAGACCTTCTCTATCAGATCCAAAACATCTTGGTTGTCAATAAAGTCAATGTAGCTCCTGCTCCATCTTAAATACATGCTGCATAACAAGTCCCACGAAAAAGGTGCATATTAAGGAACCAGTACATAAAAACTACATTTTACTAGAAATAGAATCCAAATATCAAATTACCTCATTAAAATGCTGTTGAAGCTTCTCGTTTGCGAAATTGATGCAAAATTGCTCAAAACTGAGTAATGTAGGTAGAACAAAGCAATAAATTTCCAGAAACACATTTAAGTCACACACACCAAATAATAAATAAATAAATAAAATTAAATTTTACCAGTAATTCCAAAATACATATAAACTTGTACTTTAGTTACTGAAAATAAGTGAGTTCAGGTGTATTAATAACTATGTACTTCTACCTCGAAGAAATTGACAATGAAATGAAATATAAAATGGGATACAAAATGTCAATTCATTGATAATTTACCTATTCAATTTAAAGCATTCAAATCCGTATATGTCAAGGACTCCAATTTGTATCTTAGAATCGTGATCTTGTCCAACTGATCTGTTAATCTTAAACCACGTTAAGAATGTCCTGTTATGCTCTTGCACCAACCACCTTTCAGGTTTTCGAGGATTTTGTCGCTTTACTAGTGCCTTATGTGCAACTATGTAAGGATGCACTTCAGGAGTATTATTGAGAACATATGTATGTGCTTGTATCATTTCTTCACGATCAACACTCTTAAGTTGTCCCCCGATAGTCCCTTTACCAGACCCCTTTCTTTTGTGGCGAGAACTAGGGATGCCAATAGATTTTGACTGTGATAAATATTCATTACAAAATTCTACAGCCTCTTCCGCAACATATCTTTCAACAATGGATGCCTCAGGTTGGCGCGGGTTCTTCACATAAGCCTTCAAAATTTTCATGTATCGTTCAAATGGATAC